TCGCACCAGGTACTCATTTGAGGCTTAGTCGTCCTAGGGGAGGCCCAGGACCGGTTCAGATAATCGTCACTGGTGTTTGCCGTAAGCGGGAATACGAACCCGGGTCGCCAGGTTTGTAGTGCAGGTCGCTAACCGCTACACTACCGCTCCCCACTACACTACCGCTCCCCACTACACTACCGCTCCCCACTACACTACCGCTCCCCACTACACTACCGCTCCCCACTACACTACCGCTCCCCACTACACTACCGCTCCCCACCCTCTCCCCTCCACCCGACAAGTCTAACACACCCACACACACTAACACACACTAACACACACACACATTAACACAACACACTAACACACACACACACTAACACACTAACACACACACTAACACACAGATACTAACACACACACACTAACACACACACACTAACACACACACACTAACACACCCACACACACTAACACACACACTAACACACACACACACTAACACACACACACACTAACACACACACACACACTAACACACACACTAACACACACACTAACACACCCACACACACTAACACACACACTAACACACACACACAAACACACTAACACACACACTAACACACACACACTAACACACACACACTAACACACACTAACACACACTAACACACACACACTAACACACACACACACTAACACACACACACTAACACACACACACTACACACACACTAACACACACACACTAACACACACACACTACACACACACACACACTAACACACACACACTAACACACACACTAACACACACACTAACACACACACTAACACACACACTAACACACACACTAACACACACACTAACACACCCACACACACTAACACACACACACAACACACTAACACACACACTAACACACACACACTAACACACACACACACTAACACACACACACTAACACACCACACACACTAACACTACACACACTAACACACACACTAACACACACTAACACACACTAACACACACACTAACACCCACACACTAACACACACACTAACACACACACTAACACCCACCACACTAACACCCACACACTAACACCCACACACTAACACCCACACACTAACACCCGCACACTAACACCCACACACTAACACCCACACACTACCACACACTAACACACACTACACTCACACCTACACACTAACACACACTAACACACACACACACACAACACACTAACACACACACACTAACACACACACACACTAACACACACACACTAACACACACACACACTAACACACACACACTAACACACACACACTAACACACACACACTAACACACACACACACTAACACACACACACTAACCCACACACAAGGGGGCACGAGCGGTCTCCAGCCACGGGACTGGCACCGGGGGTGAGCAGCTGGCAGGGGCCGCCGTGGCTCATTGGCCAACGCAGCCGCGAGTCTCCCCGCGGGGACTTTCACTCAGAATGGCACCGCGCGTCTCGCATCCTCTGCGCAACAGACAAGCACCATTGATTGCTTCCGATCTATAATCGATGGGGGGGGGGGGGGGGTTGCGTCGCCTCGCGTGAGTGGTGTGTGTCGTGGCACCCTCTCCCCTCCATCCGACATAGTGGCGAGCAACATTGAAAAAAAAATCCCGATGTTTGTCGCGGGACGACCAAACCCGCGCCCGTCGTTCCACCCTCTCACGGCAGCGCCTGCCGGCGCGATGCCGGAGAGCGAAGACAGCGCGCAGAACTCTGAACGATCGCGGTGGGTGTGGGGTGGGGTGAGTGTGAGTGGGTGGAGATGTTGGTGTGGTGTGGGTGGGGATGTTGGCGCGGGTGCCCCCTCCGCTGCCAAGTTTGCCACCAGTGGCCACAGGCGTCTGCCAGCCGCCGCAGAAGAAGAAGCGCGGGGCTGATTGGTGCCTCGCCGCCGATCGCTTTGCGTTGCTCGCGACCCGGCGGAGAGAAACAGCGCCGACTCCGCCACGACGGAGTGTTGCACTCCCATCGTGGGGTTTTGTTTGGTTTGTTTGTCGTTGTTACGTTCCTACCCCGTGCCCCGACTGCGCATCTGTGGGGATAAAAGAGCTTTATAGCTCATCGGATTCCTCCGGTATAAATATAGATTCTGATTCTGCGTACGAGGCGTGGAACACGGAGTGGTGGAGTGGGGTCATGGAGCAGCGGTTGGGAAGCTTTTGCTATCAACGAAACTGCGCAAAAGTGTAGTTTATATTTTACCAGGTAAGGGTGCACTGAGCTCTCTGTAGTAATGTTTTCAGAAGCGACCACTGGCTATCACAAATGATAGCTCAACGAAGTGGCTTGTCGTCGTTTGGACATTTGTAGCAAGACCCAAACGCTCTAAACGTACGATGTTCATTCTAAATGTGGAGGGGAAAATCCACACGACCACGGGGAGAACACGCAAACTCCAAATATACAGCTGCAGGCATCGTCAGGGTCGGGATCGACCCCACGACCTCCTGTACACCAGGCGAGGTAGTCAACATCTCCTAGCCACCGCGGGACCCTATGAACCCTTACGACGCGAGTCCCACTCTGTTCACGGTTCACATGAAGTGGCGACTTAGTGAGTCGGCGCCGAATCACCCCCAAAGCTCTGCTGTCCTCTATATATGAAGGTGTCAAGGTGCATAAACCATCACGCGAACTCTAGTCATCCAGCAGCGGCTTCTGGCTGCCCATCGTACAAAGACGGCCACCGCATCGCGCGCTTTCACATGCGCTTCTGCGGCCATCGAGAACGCTCTTCCTTCCCATACTAGAAATCCACTGGAGCAGCACACTTTAAAATCTCGATTGAAAACTCATTTCTTTAGAACTGCTTTTTATGTTTAGTTTGTTGCCCTTCCACCACCACCTCCGATTCGCACGGTTGGCTACGTACGGTGCAAACGAAGTCCAAGATTAATTCATACGGTGCGAAAGAAGTTATACATTCGGTGCGAAAGAAGTGCAACGTACAGACTTGTTATTGGCCAATGAATGACTGTATTGTTTAAACGTGGGAGAAAACCGGGGCACGCAGAAAAAATTGAGGCGTGCGAGGGAGCAACACTCCATCCCATACAGGTGGAGCAATTGAAGTCCAAATTTTTGCTGTACCTCATTCTCCTGGCAAGCCAGGGTTACAGGTCCTCCTCGACCCGCACGAGAAGGGAGTTTCACAACCACCTGTGGCGGTGGTCCACCAACCCCTCGCTGCTGCCTCCACAGCCACGGGTGATTGCAGGCCGCCACGTGCGTCGAATTTGCTATTCGTGGCGTGGTGAATCGGCTCGCGAGCTCGTTACACGGACGCAAGCACGACGAGAGCTCCCTTCTGCCTGAACGCAGGGAAGGGGTCGAGCAGCAGCAGCAGCAACAACAACAACGGATGTCTCGGGGAAATTCGGGAAATCCGCCCCGAGTGGCAGAGGATTTATATATATAGGCACGCAGCTCTCCACGGGTGGCGCTGCGGGTCAGACGTGAACCTCACAGGGCAAGGCTCTCTCAAGCGCCGGGCTGCACGCAGCCTGCGGTGACTGTTGCGTAACGCAGTACGTGCCGCGGCTTCTACACGCCGCACACGGCTGCATACACTGCACGCCAGCCAGCGGGGTCCTGGGCGGCAGGTCTCGTTCCGCGAGTGGAACTCAATGGGGGATTGCACCCAAGAAGTTCGTATTTTGCGTAGCGCGGTGCCAGCCTGACTGGCACAGCTGACTGGCACGAGCTGGCAGACACCAGCTGGTAGTCAGTGATAGCCGACAAGAGCTGGCAGACCAAACCTGCGTTACCTCTGCGTGTCTGGAGGGAGCGGTGGTGGAGCGGTTAGCACACTGCGCTCCGAATCCAGCGACCCGAGTTCCCGATTCCATCTTTCTCGGCTAACACCGGTGACGAATATCCGAACCTGTCCCAGGTATCTCCTCGGTCAACACATCCTTAAATAATTACCTGGTGCTCCTCCGAAAATCGCGGTTGGGCTACGTACGGTGCGAAAGAAGTTCAACACGCGGAACATACAAACATCAGCACAGGGGGAGACTAAGGCGACCGAGCGTGGTGCTGGCCCACCCCCGACTCCCTTCGTGCACCGTTCACACATAGAGGTGCTTGCCAACAGCACTTGCTCCCAACAGTCTGTTGAGGCTACGCGGGCGACCTTTGCTTTTGTTTGTGCCAAGCAGCGCGCGCGCACCGCACACCCCCCGAGCATCCCGTCCTGTGCCCACGTCAACTCGACAGCACCAGCGGCGATGTGCTCCTGCTGCCCGTATGGTGACCACGGTGTTGTTGTGCCACTCTTCGGCTTTCAATGTACAAGTTCGAGAGCGCACACTTGTTCTCTGAGAATTGTTACTTACCCTGACTTGAAGCATTCGAACAACAACAGCAGCAACAACAACGCGTGCGGTGTTTATTGATCTCGCGTTTACGTGAAAAATATCCCACGCAAAGGGATGAAGTTGAATAATAAAAAATAGAATCTCCGAGATGAGCCGAGTGCTGAGCAAATCAATCGCGCGCCACGCTTCCACGCGTCCGGACGTCCACGTGTTTCATTTGTGACACCTGGAGCTTCTATTTGAGTCTGGTGAGTGTGGGTGAGAGCGTGGTGAGTGTGTGTGAGTGTGATTGTGGGTGAGTGTGGGTGAGTGTAAGTGAGTGTGTGGGTGAGTGTGGGTGAGTGTGTGTGGGTGAGTGTGGGTGAATGTGGGTGAGTGTGTGTGGGTGAGTGAGTGTGGGTGAGTGTGGGTGAGTGTGGGTGAGAGCGTGGTGAGTGTGAGTGAGTCTGGGTGAGTGTGGGTGAGTTTGGGTGAGTGTGGGTGAGTGAGGGTGAGTGCGTGGTGAGTGTGGGCGAGTGAGTGAGTGTGGGTGAGTGTGGGTGAGTGAGTGAGTGTGGGTGAGTGGGGGTGAGTGTGTGTGAGTGTGGGTGAGTGTGGGTGAGTTTGGGTGTGCGCACTCACCCCTCTGCTTGCCGCGCACGGCGCTCATTCCCAGCCCCAGCAGGAGGCACAGCAGGGCCGGGACCCGCATCGCCATCGCCAGCACCCCTCGGTGTCTCCTCCGCCTGCCTCTCCCGTGACTCCAGCAGCAAGTCCCGTGCGTGGCGCTGGAGAGGAGTTGAGTGGACGCCGCTCTCTCTCTCTCGCAGGTCGCGCGCTCTGCCCGTCCTCTACAGCCACCCCCGTCCCCACCCTCTCGTGCTGCGTGCCCTCAGGGGGTCTTCACCCCCACCCACCTACCTCCGTCTGAGTTGCGAGTGTCACGCCAGCGCTGCCAAACTCTACCTCCACGCGTGGCGGGACCCAGAAGAGGCTCGCGTCCGCCCTCTCGTGGGCACGAATGCGCTCCTCGGCTTGCAGAATTACGGTAGTTCTCGTGCCAGCAGCAGCAGCCAGCAGCAGCAGCCAGCAGCAGCAGCCAACAGCAGCAGCCAGCAGCAGCAGCCAACAGCAGCAGCAGCCAGCAGCAGCCAGCAGCAGCAGCAGCAGCAGCAGCCAGCAGCAGCAGTAGCCAGCAGCCAACAGCAGCAGCAGCAGCCAACAGCAGCAGCCAGCAGCAGCAGCCAACAGCAGCAGCAGCAGCCAGCAGCAGCAGCCAACAGCAGCAGCAGCCAACAGCAGCAGCAGCAGCCAACAGCAGCAGCAGCAGCCAGCAGCAGCCAGCAGCAGCAGCAGCAGCAGCAGCAGCCAACAGCAGCAGCAGCCAGCAGCAGCAGCCAGCAGCAGCAGCCAATAGCAGCAGCCAGCAGCAGCAGCCAACAGCAGCAGCCAACAGCAGCAGCCAGCAGCAGCAGCCAGCAGCAGCAGCAGCAGCCAGCAGCAGCAGCCAGCAGCAGCAGCCAACAGCAGCAGCCAACAGCAGCAGCCAGCAGCAGCAGCCAGCAGCAGCAGCCAACAGCAGCAGCAGCAGCCAGCAGCAGCAGCCAGCAGCAGCCAGCAGCAGCAGCCAACAGCAGCAGCAGCAGCCAACAGCAGCAGCAGCAGCCAGCAGCAGCAGGCAGCAGCAGCCAGCAGCATCAGCCAACAGCAGCAGCCAGCAGCAGCAGCCAGCAGCAGCAGCCAACAGCAGCAGCAGCCAGCAGCAGCAGCAGCCAACAGCAGCAGCCAGCAGCAGCAGCCAGCAGCAGCAGCAGCCAGCAGCAGCAGCCAGCAGCAGCAGCAGCGAGCCCGCGACGGCCGTGCGTGGCCTCCCTGGGGAGGGTTCACATTCTGGGGGCATTGCGGTCCAGCGACTGAGTAGCTAAGACCGCTTACAGATGTGTCAAAAATATATGTTTCAAATCGTCTTCTTCTTTCGTATGGCCGCTGATGTAGTAGATGCAGAGCAATAACGAGAAGCTCACATTCAGTTGGGTCAAGCCAGATAACCGCGTCAGGAGCAGCGGTCTGTATCATCGCCGTGATGTCTCCTTCGTGTTTCGGGCATTGCGTCGCTAAACGTTGTTACGCAGTTGCACACTGCCGGAGAGTTATTTATTTATTTTTCATTTATGCATCAGGTATCGGAAAATACTGCCGTGCTTTATGATGCTGTTTAGGGTGGAAGATGAGCTTCGTGGAAGACCAAACCCAGTGGATCTTCTGCCTTGGGCCCTCTTTTTTTGATGAGACATGGACAGACAGATACCGGGAGAGGGCGTATTGTCAGCGTATGTGTTAATAAAGAAAACAACTATAATAGAGGTTTGTTTTGGGGCTTTACGCAATCTAACCCACATAAACCCCTCTATTATGGATGATATTGGTCGCGAAAGTCTACGTGTTAAAAAACACAACTCTTCTCTGTTGATTTTTCTCTTTCACTGCCTCCACCCCTACCGGTTCCTTCAACCGCCCCTAATCCAGTCGCCACGTCTTCTTCCTCCGACGACTAATTCCTAACTCGGCTCTCACGTCTCGCTTTCTCTATGTGCACATCTCTTCCCTCAATCTCCGCCGTGCTCCTCAATCAGCCCAACTATCCGGCCACCAGACCTCTGCCCCTACCACCCTTCACCTAACCTCATTCATGCCCGGCCATAGCACCCTATCTATCTTAACATTTCACGCATGTGCCGCATACCTCGATGCCTCTCATCCACGTTGCACCCATCTGTTACCCTCATTCACCGTCACCCTCCACCTTATTCCTCCTTCCCTAACCCTGCAACATTATGGCTCCATTCCCAGCCCCTGTCCCTCCATCCCTTCCATCACCTCCCTCACCGACAGCCATTCTACCCCACCCGTTCATCCCCTTCTGCCCCTTTGTGTACCGCCGTCGACTTGCGTTGTCATGTGCCCTGACAAGGGCGCTATATTATTTTTAAATAGAATCGAATGTATTTTACCACTTGCACGTCCTATGAAGAAACGCGTCCCTGCCATGGGAACGTGGATTTAACGCAACGCAGGATGTAGCGCACTACCCCACGCCCATGAGTGTTGGAACACAATTTGACGCTCAAGAAAACCTTTCTTCTACACCTAAATATTCGTTTAGTAGCGTAAAAAAACCAACGATAAAATAACTGTCGATAACAAACACTATTTTCTTGTAAACAACCTAGTAAATATGGAATGGTGTGCCAACGTTGTGTCAATGTTGGCACAAACGTTGCATGTGTAGTGATGCACTTTAGAGACACTAGTATTTGGGAGGCACTCTGTTTATTATAGCCTTCACCAGCATAGGGTCAGGACAGCAACAGGCTGCCTGACCAACAACAATGAGGACGATGTCGAAGGCGATGACGAAGACTTGCAGCTCCACGGGTTCCACTCCAAACAACAGCAACGAGTCCTCTCCGGGGTCTCCCTTTTATCCCCCCAGCGTAGCCTCGCTCCCCCCTCGGCCACACCCCCTTCTAGAACCTACTAGAAGGTTCCCGGCATACTTCACCTGCCCCCTCTGTCATTCTTTCCCCACATTCCTTCCTCCAGCCTATCCCCTGACCTGCTGACCGACAGGGCTGCTTCAACAGCAGGTCCCCTTTTTGCCAGCAACTAGCGCTACACGCCATAGTGACCTATTCCATGTCACTACATCACCCCCCCTGTGAAAAAAAAACAGCTGTCCCAGCTGAGCTCCATACCCCGCACAGCGGAACAACGAACACAACAACAACCGTTATCCCACTTGCGAGGCAACAAGAACAATACATGAATAATAAAACCATCGCGAACGCACGGTAATAACCCAGCTCCCATGAATATACAACCACCGACAACCGTCCACGTGGCGCAGCCACAGGCCGGGTCGTGTCTGCGACCACCCGCCAGACGGCATCGGAATAAATAGGAGAATGGGAAGGGCGGGTTATCTTAATCGAACAGTTTTTGAACGGGTCCTCGTCTCCGGGCCCCCAGGCAGGACAAGAATGTGATTCCTGGGGACCCCGGGGACGATTTGTAAATGGCCTAATGGGCGCAGCCCCTCCAGGGAAGAAGAAAAAGGGGAATAAGAGGAAGCGGGTGGCGGTCGTTCCGTCCTCCCTGGCCCTCCTGTGGACTGCGCCGCTGGTGGTTCCGTGGTTGTCAGGCGCTGGAATCCTGTGGGTGGAAGAATAGAATCCCGCTGAGGCGCGACCTTCTTAACTGAACGCCCGGACTCGCTGAACCTCAGCCAATCGGCCTACAGGTAATGGGGATGAAACGACCTCGCAAGGTGGAAAATAGGGTTTCAGTCGTGAAGGGTGCATATACCAACGTCTGCGACAGACCTGGATTTGTACGCACTGTGGCCTCCTGACCTCAATCACCTCCACCGGGCCCTGCCATGGCTTATGTGGTTAAGGGGACGTACCCAGGGGTACCTGGGGGCAATGCAGCCATACCTTGTCCCCAGGTTTCGAGGGGTTTCCGGATCCCCAAAGTCCCACCAACTTTTCATTTGCAGCCTGCCGTTTCGCCAAATTACCCCGAGATTCTTCCCAAGCTTACGTCAATCGTTTAAGGGTAAGGGGCATGAGCATAGGCACAATAACCTTCTTCCTGGTCGGCTCTATGTCTAACTGAGCCTCCACGGGGGGGGGGGGGGGTTGTATTCCCTCCCCGTACATGAGGAAAAAGGGGGAAACACCGGTGGAAACGTGAGGGGCCATTATGTATGCAGCAAGAACACTCGGAACGTGCAAGTCCCAATCGGACTGCGCCTCGTTGACCTGTTGGCACAACATGGACGTGAGAGTCCTGTGCACACGCTCTACCATCCCGTCAGTCTGGGGGTGGTAGGGTGTCGTCCGGATCTTTTTAGCACCGAGGGAGTCGCACACCTCTTTTAATAAATTAGAGAATAAATTCCGTCCTTGGTCCGTAAGGAGACGCTCAAGGGGTCCCTTTGTCCAAAACATACCCGTGTAGGAACGCGTCCGTGATGGACGTGGCCGACTGATCTGGCAAGGGCCAAGCCACCGGCCACTGTGACAGGAACTCCACCCCGACGAGCAAAAAATAAATCCCCTCGGAGTGGTGGGACATGGCCCGAGGATATCGAGGACAACGAGCTCACTAATACGTGACACCTCTATGGACTGCAACGGCGGCCGGTTCTGCCTCAGCGGGGGCTTGCGGCGAGCGCACTCAACACACCCCTTCAGCATATGATTGACATCCTCCGACATCCCGGGCCAAAAGAAATCGCGTTTTAGGGTCAACAAAGTTTTACGCATCCCGAGGTGCATAAATCGCACATGAACAAACCGTGTTGTCCTACCCCGCCGAGCAGTCGCTACGACGATGCAGTAACCCTGCAACTCCCCGTCCCACATCATCAGCAGCCTCTCGCGGAGGACCATAAGGGGCATACTCGCTGGCCCTATTCTACCACCCGTCGCTCCGATACGCCGCCGCATTTTCAAGAGGGATGCATCCTCCACTTGGGTGTGTTTGAGGGTTAGAGCATGGGTTACGGGGGAACGGTAGCGTAGTTGTTAGCGCACTGCACGACGAACCAGGAGATCCAAGTTCGAATCCCGCTTAGGGCCAACACCAGTGACGATTATCAGAATCCGTCCTGGGCCTTCCTCTCCTTGGTCGACTCCGCCTCAAAATGAGTACCTGGTGCGGTGTGTAAACATGGCCACTGGGGGAAATAAAGGCGGTCGGGCGTGGTGCTGGCCAATCACCCCCTCGTGTATCGCTACCAGCACTTGCCCCAACAGCCTATTAAGGCAATACGGGGGATATTTGTCTTTGTTGTTTAGGATATAACATGGGGTCCAGAATTGGGTGGGTGTGAGTGAGAGCATGGGTCTGCATCGACATCGTACAGCATGAGGCCCAGCATGGGTTGTAATAGCATGGGTTACAGCATGGGGTGTTTGTGAGTGAAATCATGGGTTAAAGGATGGGGTGGGTGTAAGTGAGAGCATGCGTTACAGCATGGGGTCTAGATCGAAATCGCTCCAGCAAGGTGTCCAGCCTGGCGTATGTGCGAGATCACGGGTTGGCGCATGGGCTGAGTGTGAGTGAGAGCAGAGCCCATGCTGTAACAGCTGTGTCGAGTTCTGTTCCATTAGTTTATCCTGGCCGCATGAACACTGCCAGGATAAACTTATGTGGGCATGACATTCTATAACTTTACAGGGCTTTCATCAGTCCATTCCGTCTCGCAATTATCACAATTATCGTTGCGTTGTCATTATTTGAGTTATTTGCTTTGTCTTACTTAGTAATGGTATTCGAAATGCAGTGTTGCTCACTCCACCTCTACATGTTAACATCTGAATCATTCTCAGGGCACCATGGTATGTATTGCGCAGTCCAAATCTAAATAATTTTAACTCCCCAGTAAACATGGAAACTTTAGGCCAACAGTAAAAAAATTACTGAGTCTCTAGCCTGTGTTATTTGCTATTGTTTTTGCTGTTTAAGACCGCATTGTTGACGACGATTGTGTCGAGTGTTGCTTTAGCTGCATGTAGAGTATTTCAGTGGCGTGGGTCTGTGGAGATGTACAGGGTGGTCCAAATGTATTGTGACCCCCCAATTAATTGACTCCTATGATTTGTTTCCCTCTGTTAATATATTTATGTATTTACCTCATTGCATACAATATACAATGTTTTGGAGAATTAAATGGGGGAGGGGGGTCACAAGACCTCTGGATCACCCTGGACACTCTGATTGTTGAAAGAGAGTCCATGAATCTGCCTGGTCAGCGAACTTTATTGCTACTCACCTAAGCCACGCACTCGCAGGGATTCAATACCAAAACGCCCTCGGTGGCGAGGTGTTAACTACTTCGCCTGTTATAAGGCCGTGAGTGCGATCCCGACCCTGATGCCTGCTGTGTATTTGGAGTTTGCGTGTCTCTTTCTCTCCCCTCGTTATCGCGTGGATTTTTTCCCCACACATTTAGAAACACGCGTTTACAGTATTTCGCTGCTATCCATTTCCACACGATGATAAGCCACTTCCTTGAGCTCTCATTTGTGATGGCCAGATGGCTTCTGAAAAAGAGCTGTATTGCTCTGCGGGCCTTGCCTGGTAAAATAAAAACATAGTTTATAGTTTAGTTTTAACCTCGTTTTTTCTGTAAGCCCCCCTGGTATAGTCTCTCTCCCAGTTCCTTCTGGAACCGTCTACAACAATGTTTATCAAACTCTAGTCCTCGTGACCCACCGCCACGCGACGTCTTTCCCAGTTCACAAATTAACTCCCCATTCAAATACACCTGAACTCTCACCAATTAACTCCCCATTCAAATACATCAGAACTCGTTCAACGCTGCACGCGCACGATGATTGCGACACGCTGTCTGTGCCGCGTGGAGTACACGGAACGCACGCGTGACGCAACCACGCGCACTGAGATCTCAATCTTAACGCGAGTCGGCTCAATGAACGTAGATAACGTTAATTGATTAGCGCGTGGCGTGGGAGGTGCTTAACAATCATTGGGCGCAAGGCAGCAGTGAACGTGAATTTGAATGGGAGAGTTAATTGGTGGACGCGGAGAGTGTTAGCGTGGTGGTGAAACATACGAATCGGAAACAATTGATTCTGCGCGCCGTTCAATTTCCACAGTACGGGAAGCGTCGTGTTTATTTTGTCACATGTTAAAATCACAACCGCATAGGAGTGTAGTGGATAGCTTAAAGTTGCCACTTAACTGGGTTAGACCCGGATAAGTAGTAGGGTTCAGTGTTGGCTTGACCCCGGGCAGTCCGGAAATTGGCATCTGTTTTCAGGTGACAGAAATGTTTTTGTAGCGAGGTCTGGTACCGGCAATTATGTGGTGAACTGCATTACACAGTAAACCGTACAGTTTTCATAGCCAAAGTGCTCAGCCTGGAGCTGGTCGACAGCAGTGGTTTTTAACCTGGGCTGCACGCACCCCCCTGCACGGAGGTGCGAGATGCCCTTTCTGGGGCAACGAGAAATGAAATGGCCATACTCTTTTTGAAGGTAAATCATCGAAACAAATTAAGCACGGGCTTTGAAGAACAAATACTTTGTGTCATCAAACCCGTGTATGTGTTAACATTGTACATGTTTTAACGGTTGAGAACCAAAAGGGTGCAAGGCTGCAGTAAGGGTTAAGACGCACTGGTCTACAGGAGAAAAAGTGGCAAAAACAGACCACCAGTGGGTGAATCTGATCTCGCGAGACGTAACTCGTCTACCATTGTGATTGTGGCAGGTATTGTTATTCATTAACTACTATTAGTCTTGACTTAAAGCTTTCGTGACTGCAGGAATCCATACTCTTTGGGTCTTTCGGTAAAGTCACGTAGATAGAAAAAAAATCACGACGTTTCGATCGCAACACAAGCAATCGTCTTCCAGCATGTTTTAACCTGAAGACAATTGCTTGTGTTGCGATGGAAACGTGATTTTATAATTGTTCTATCTACGTGACTTTACCGAAAGACCCAAAGAGTTCTATTCGTCTGTTCGTGTAACTATTCACATGGCAGTTCAAACACTGGTCATCAGAAACATTTGTTTATGTAATTCTCATCAGAACCCATGGTGTAAAAATAAGTTGGGCTCTGCCTGCTAGAATGGAGATGATTTCGGTATATGTGTATGTTTCTGGGTGATTTGTTTAACGACCATCATGTGTTTGTAATGTTTCTTGTTGTAACATTCTTACATGCCCCTACCTGTGAAAAAGAGCTTTACAGCTCATATGATTTCTCCTGCCGTATAGATAAATATTCGGATTCTGAAGTGCAGTCTTGAACTCTTACTATATTCGCGTTATCTCTCTGCGTCTTCAATAAAAACTTTTGCCCGAAAGGTTGCATGATTATTGATTTTGTTTCCGTTAAGGGGGCGCGCACACAAACGCACGTGTTGTTACTGACGCTGCGGTGGCTAGGAGATGTTAACTACCTCGCCTGGTGTACAGGCGGTCGTGGATTCGATCCCCACCACGATGCCTAGTGTATATTTGGAGTTTGCGGTGTCTGTGTGTGTCTCTCTCTCTGTGTCTCTGGGTCCTGCGGGGTTTTCCCTTCACATTTAGAATCAACGTCACCACGCGTTTAGTGTTTGGCTGCTGTAAATGTCCACGTGATAGGCCAACTTCGTTGAGCTATCATTTGTGACCAGGTCGCTTCTGAAAAAAGAGCAACGTAGCTCAATGGGCATTACCTGGTACAATAAAAAACTAAGTTTAGAATTGGGATTTTATTTATTCACATAGGGAGTGGGCTGACAAAGGTCTCGCGAGACTTGGAGAGTTGGCTGCAGACAAATCTCGCGAGACTCGCGCTGGACGCGGTCTCCACGGTAACCGCGCTCGGCCCACTCGGCCTGGCGGTGATGATGGAGGCGGACGCGGCGAACGGCGCCTTCTACCTGGAGCGTATCCTCCTGATCCCCCCTGATCCTCCTGATTCCCCCCGACCCCCAGATCCTCCCGATTCTTCCCCTCTCCCTGATCCTCTCCGCCCCCCTGATCCCACCCCTCTGATCCCATCCCCCTGATCCCATCCCCCTGATCCCATCCCCCTGATCCCATCCCCCTGATCCCATCCCTCCCTGATCCCATCCCCTGATCCCATCCCCCCCTGATCCCATCCCCCTGATCCCATCCCTGATCCCATCCCCCTGATCCCATCCCTCTGATCCCATCCCCTGATCCCATCCCCCTGATCCCATCCCCCTGATCCCATCCCTCTGATCCCATCCCCCTGATCCCATCCCTCTGATCCCATCCCCCTGATCCCATCCCCCTGATCCCATCCCCCTGATCCATCCCTCTGATCCCATCCCCCTGATCCCATCCCCCTGATCCCATCCCTCTGATCCCATCCCCCTGATCCCATCCCCCCTGATCCCATCCCCCTGATCCCATCCCCTGATCCCATACCCCCTGATCCCATCCCTCTGATCCCATTCCCTGATCCCATCCCCCTGATCCCACCCCCCTGATCCCATCCCCCTGATCCCATCCCCCTGATCCCATCCCCCCTGATCCCATCCCCCTGATCCCATCCCCGCCTGATCCCATCCCCTGATCCCATCCCCTGATCCCATCCCTCTGATCCCATCCCCCTGATCCCATCCCCCTGATCCCATCCCCCTGATCCCACCCCCCTGATCCCACCCCCCTGATCCCATCCCCCTGATCCCATCCCCCCTGATCCCATCCCCCTGATCCCATCCCCCCCTGATCCCATCCCCTGATCCCATCCCCTGATCCCATCCCTCTGATCCCATCCCCCTGATCCCATCCCCCTGATCCCATCCCCCTGATCCCATCCCCCTGATCCCATCCCTCTGATCCCATCCCCTGATCCCATCCCCCCCTGATCCCATCCCCCTGATCCCATCCCCTGATCCCATCCCCCTGATCCCATCCCTCTGATCCCATCCCCTGATCCCATCCCCCTGATCCCATCCCCCTGATCCCATCCCTCTGATCCCATCCCCCTGATCCCATCCCTCTGATCCCATCCCCCTGATCCCATCCCCCTGATCCCATCCCCCTGATCCCATCCCTCTGATCCCATCCCCCTGATCCCATCCCCCTGATCCCATCCCTCTGATCCCATCCCCCTGATCCCATCCCCCCCTGATCCCATCCCCCTGATCCCATCCCCCTGATCCCATACCCCCTGATCCCATCCCTCTGATCCCATTCCCTGATCCCATCCCCCTGATCCCACCCCCCTGATCCCATCCCCCTGATCCCATCCCCCTGATCCCATCCCCCCTGATCCCATCCCCCTGATCCCATCCCCGCCTGATCCCATCCCCTGATCCCATCCCCTGATCCCATCCCTCTGATCCCATCCCCCTGATCCCATCCCCCTGATCCCATCCCCCTGATCCCATCCCCCTGATCCCTCCCCCTGATCCCACCCCCCTGATCCCACCCCCCTGATCCCATCCCCCTGATCCCATCCCCCCTGATCCCATCCCCCTGATCCCATCCCCCCTGATCCCATCCCCTGATCCCATCCCCTGATCCCATCCCTCTGATCCCATCCCCCTGATCCCATCCCCCTGATCCCATCCCCCTGATCCCATCCCCCTGATCCCATCCCTCTGATCCCATCCCCTGATCCCATCCCCCTGATCCCATCCCCCTGATCCCATCCCCCTGATCCCATCCCTCTGATCCCATCCCCTGATGCCATCCCTCTGATCCCATCCCCCTGATCCCATCCCCCTGATCCCATCCCCTGATCCCATCCCTCTGATCCCATCCCCTGATCCCATCCCCATGATCCCATCCCCCTGATCCCATCCCCCTGATCCCATCCCCCTGATCCCATCCCTCTGATCCCATCCCCTGATCCCATCCCCTGATCCCATCCCCCTGATCCCATCCCCCTGATCCCATCCCCCTGATCCCATCCCCCTGATCCCATCCCTCTGATCCCATCCCCTGATCCCATCCCCCTGATCCCACCCCCCTGATCCCATCCCCCTGATCCCATCCCCCTGATCCCATCCCCTGATTCCATCCCCTGATCCCACCCCCCTGATCCCACCCCCCTGACCCCATCCCCCTGATCCCATCCCCCTGATCCCATCCCCTGATTCCATCCCCTGATTCCATCCCCTGATTCCATCCCCTGATCCCCCTCGTCCGCGGCCTCCCTCCACGCCGCGGGGTTTGGCCGTCACTAAACTGAGCAGCAGCAGCAGCAGTTGCTGCTGCGCGGTCCCCAACGCCGTGCGCGTGTGCGGTCTGAACGTGGAATGTATAACAGGCGACGTTTCGGGCAATGGGCCCTTCGTGTCAGTTGTGTTTGTGCACCGCTGCCAACGCGCCAGGCGACAGCATCACCAGATAATTTGTGTGCTTTGTGTTTTGTTTTGTCGACGCGATTGTGCTGTGCGCGTGGTTTCCGCAGCGAATCCAGCACTGCGGGCGGCAGCAATGGGCTGTGGATCCACGAAAATCTTGCGAAACTCCAAACCTGTCAACCTCTTGTCGGTGCCCTACCTTGCTACAGAACAATGCAGACCTTATTGGTCACCCCGTGCCACTTATAAATCTCAATGTTCATCCTACAAAGTCCCATATAGACAAAATAAATGTTTTCCCCGTATTGAAACAGCTGTACGCCGTATGGACCTGACAACTAAATTTCCATGTACAAGAATACGGGTGAACCGTGTGGGTTGACACGGTGTGAAACTCCCTTTCCCTGGGAGTATTGTACAGAAAAAATGTGGACTCGGGTCTGTTACATCTGTATGGGATAAAGTGTTCCCCTCTCGCATGCTTGGGTATTCGCCGTGTGCGCCGGTTTCCTCCCGCATGTTAAGTCATTCATTGACCGAAGTTCGACATATATGCCTATCTTAATATATAGAGGAACGCAGAGCCGGGGCAATTAATTGATGGCGTCGGCTCATTGCATCCTTCCTTCCCTGCTTGTCTACAGTTCTTCCTTGCGCTTCCGAGACATGTCGTTTCGTTTCCCCAATGTAACTGCTGCCGCAGACACAACTTAGTTTGTAGACACCAGGGTATTGCATGTCAGGAATGACATCCTTCACAGATGGGATAAAATCACGGATTTTGGGTACTGTATTGAATCGGACCTGGATCTTGTGTTTGTTTAAGATTTTGGAAATATTTTTGGTAACACCTCTGTATGGCAAGATGGTGGTTTTGATTGGGTCCTCAGATGGTTGTCTCCCCATGTTGGGGCTACAGCTTTGCAGATTGTGCGGTCTAAGTATCCATTCATGTTGGCGGCTTGTTGTACGTGCTCCAGTTCACTGGCTAGGTGGAGGTGGTCGAAAAAGCAGCGGGCCCTATGGTGTAGTGTTTTTATGAGGGAGTTCTTCTGGGCCGGAAGGTGGTGGGAGTCAGGCTTCAGATAGGAATCCGTGTGGGTCGCTTTCCTATAGACGGAATGTCCCAACGAGCCATCAGGCCTCTTCTCGATCAAAACATTCAGGAATGGTAGCTTGCCATCATTTTCCACTTCCATGGTGAATTTGACGACCGCTTGTGTTGCGATCGAAACGTCGTGATATATTATATTTTGTTTTTCTACCTACGTGACTTCACTAAAATAATCAAAGAGAGTGGATTCCGACAGTCACGAAAGCTTCAAATCAAGAAGTAAAATGTTAATTAATATCTGAACAAAATGTATAAACGTCATTATTGTCCGGATCAAGCTGCATTTGCATCACAGCCCCGCGGATCACCTGGAAGACCGTCGCGGACCACCGGTGGGCCGGGAACCAGACTAAGGGAACCACTGCTCTATGTTAACAATATTTACTATCGCATTGAATCTAGCGACCTCGTGTGGCTGCGGGTGTCATGTGCACCGTAGCCACAATGTACATGTCTACGTCCATTGATTCAAGCAAGCCTGCGTGTTGATGCAGGTCCAGAGTTTGCTTGTCTTGAGTTAATGCTGCTGAAATCATGTACTCCCAGAAATAACCTTTTTTCATGTGGAGAGACGTTGCTTATTTTCTTTATTTTCCACAACGCTAATGATTGTTTTGGGCAACGTATGACGAGATCATTGTTAACGTGATTCTGCATTTATCGCAGGCTTAATCGCCGCATCTTCATACCTTCTCCAAAAGTAAACGATTTGGTGATACTGCGTTGGTAGTGGTACACAAATAAAAACACGTAATGAAAAATAAGAATAGGTTTTAACCTTTCTGGCAATAAAACAGGAGGTGCAGAGATGTTTAAACACCAAATATATCCATTTTGCAATAAATCATGTCTGCATTAACCACACATACTTGTGGTGAACGTGCAAACACCTGCTCTGATACTATCTGCATTGTCTTTGTTACTGATTGGCCTACACCAGAGACAGCCTTCTGTATGCCCTTGTCTCACCAGTGTCAGACCAGAGAACGCCAAAAGACGACCAGTACAAAGACAATACAAGTAGCAGAGCACTTCTAGCTCGGTTCTAGCAGTTATATCTTTGGGACCTTTGTACCAGTATCAAAATGATGAAAAATAAGAATAGGTTCAAAGACAATGCAATTCAAAGACAATGCATATATTATCAGAGCATGCATATTATCATAGCTTGTTTTTTTGCATGTGTAGTGACGTCGCTGGATGTCAAAATGCTGGGTTCAGTGCCGGCCCGACAGGGGCACGGCGTGCGATGTATAAACATCGCGGATACCACAATGGTGTGGGTGTAGTACCAGCCCTAGAGGGACCCAGTGATCGCTGATTGATCGCGCTAGATGGCACCACGCTTTACGTGCAGCGCCGACCCTACAGGACGGTGTGTGGGTGCCAACCGAAGGATGAGGTTATGTGAGGCCATGGCACTCTGGTTGACCCGGAAGGACACGTGACCAGTTAAGTTGACAAAAGGGCCCCAAGAGGAGGCTAGGGGTGGTCACGTGATTGGGACCCAGATCCTTCCCGAGGATTCTGGAAGGTGGACGTGGCCAGGGGCAGAGCCGGCCACGCCCCACAGAATATAAGCCGGGTCCCGAGAGGGTCCAGGGTTGTTGTTCATCCTGGAAGAAACCCTTCGTCTACATTCTCCGTTCAACGAGTCTCCAACACGTGGACCCGGGCCGAAGCTGCTGGTCCCGGTCCATAGTAGCAGTTACGTTGTAACTAGTGTAGTTAGCCTGGTGGTCACCACCATGGGTTGTTATTCTGTTAAGGGGAAAGTTACCTTGTTTTATTGGAACTGAATATGTTTCACCACAAGTACGTGTTGTTAATGCTGACTTGATGCCTTACAAAAGGCATCTATTTGGTGTTTGAACATGGTAATACCTGTTTTATTGCCAGAAAGGTAAAACTTTTCTTAGTTTTAATCATTTTGATACTGGCAAAAAAGTCCCAAAGTAAAAAAAAACTCAATTACATTGGCCTGAAAATGGAAATATGAATATATATAGGTGACGTTTCAGATATTGGCTCTTCCTCATAGCACATATAATAACTTTTAAGGCAGTCTTATTAATTAATGTATGGGATTTTTATTATTTATACCTCCACAAGTCAACCAGTGTTATAAGTGCACGGATTGTAAGGCCATACACACGTGGTCTAGTCACTGCTATTTGCTCTTGTCAGAGTTTGATTCCCATTCACGGCCAACACCAGTGACGATTATCTGAACTGGTCCTGGGCCTCCCCTAGATTTGCTCGATCTCAAATGAGTACCTGGTGTGGTGAGTAAACCACCCCACTAGGGAGACAAAGGCAGTCGGGCGTGGTGCTGACCACCCACCTCCTGTCCTCTGAACGACATCGTGGAATCTTGAAGGTCGACTGAAACAGACGGAAATTATGTTATGGTTAATATCCCGCAGTATTAACCAAGGAGCCTTGTGGGACTTGAACCTTGAGGCTTTGTACCTGCCTCCTTGGTTAGATGTCAACATTGTGCATTACAATGTATGTGGTGCTAGGTAATGTACGTAACCCCACCTTGTCAAATAAAACTGACCAATGTAGAAGGTTTTAAAGAGTATTTTTCTGTATTGGATTAAATGTAATCAACAAAATAGATAGCGTGTCTATCCTGATATTAAACCTGCGACGCGATTTTATTTTTAATGCCAATAAAATGAAAGCATCTTTCTAACAAGTTTACCAACAGAAAAAGAGTGCCGTGTACAGAGATGGGATATGCTTTCTCTATTACCTTGACTCCTTATTACAGAGGTTACAATCACTGATGATGCTGAAGATCAATACCGCTATGAAGAGGTGGGTGCATATCACTGGATTGTAGATAATTTTGGGTATCAATTCAGTATAAAAAATCTATAACTGCGACATGCACTCTTTAAAGTTTAAAAGTGAATATTGTTTACATTTGATACAGTCCACCTATGCATCCTAAAATTAGTTACCCTTTCGTATGTTATGGGTATTTTTAAGGAAAACATCGATTAATTATGCAAACATTGCACGTTTACATCTTCCCAAAAGTAATTATCCATATCAATATACAGTGACCCAGTTTTTTTATTTTACAAAAGTGAGAATGTGGATTTTACTCTTGTAGAGAATTCAATAAATCATGCACAACGTGTCCATGGCCTGGACAAAATCACCAATGACAATAAAAACATTTAATTGCAATTACAATTTTATTTAGCTGTAAGTAGCATCAAATACGAAGTAAAATACTAAATTTTCATGGAAATTTTTTTTTTGTACAGAAAGTTAAATTTATTTTAAAGTCGAAGTGTGATAAGTGTTATGAAATCTGCAAATGAGAAAAAACCCACCATAATAGATAAAGAGTGAAGGGCGTTAAACCGCAAGCTTCAAACAACACAAACACGAGTACAAAAAGCACTTGGAATGTGCGCGTCATAGAGAAAGCACCAGTTTCTGAACAATTGGACCACAATACAGTTCTTTAGGGACATCCGAGTGTTTTTTGCGTTTCGTTTTGTTTAAGCATGCTAACATGTGAATTATACTTTGCCTCAATTACAATCGTCCATAGGTCTCCATTGCTGATGAAGGCAGTGCACAGGACGCTGATGAAGACCTTGACTTTGCCGTAAGGAGCCTTCAGGAGCTGAGTGAAGATGTGCAAGCTACTGTAAGCATTTCTTCCCATATTTATCACTCAAGTCTATTTTACATATTGAAAGAGATACGAGAGGGATTTTCGAGTATCACAACATCCACTTTCACATATCGAAATCTGAGGATAAATGGTGAAACCTTCCTGGAGTATAGAGTATATCTCCTAACTCCAGTTGCATGTAGCTCTACAAAATTAATATTTTTCAATGCCTTTTTATTTTACTTCTTGCACATGCAACGTTACTATGACTTGCGGATGGGATCATGTGGGTCATCATAATAAAGCAAAGATAAACTATGACATAACTTTGTGTGCAATATCATGCATTCATTTAGTAAGAAAACTGGTTTTATAAGTCTTTATGCAGATATATATATACACATACGATTAGTACCGTTGTCTGCGTATGGTGTCAAAGGAGTTCAACATACATGCCTTATTTATTTTAGTTATATATAAGCAGAAATACAAAAATCTGCAATCCAGTATGCGGCATATTGAAAATGCTTCGCGAGTCACAAGCCATGTTCTGTAAACGTGAGCGGGGCTAATTTGGAGCTACAGGAGCAGAGCGGCAGAGATATACAGAGGTAAGATCGTTTCATGTTTTTAAACTTGGATCTCAACATTGTAATCCGCAAGTTTATTGCGTATTAATTTAGCCGTGAGTCACGTGCCGCAATTCCTCTGTAATTCGCCACATTTTTTGCGGATTAATGGAATTGCGCGACTCTTCCCATAATCTGCCGAACACCGCATTGGCGCAAATATTTTTCGTGATCCCACAAGAATCCATTCTGGGCACCCATTATTGCAGCTTACATGTCTCCAGTAGCTGAGCTCATACAGAGTTTCTGGGTATCCGTACATCAATTACGCTGATGTTACTCTCGGTTGGCTACGTAAAGTGTGAAAGAAGTTCAACATACATACTTAAATATATATACTCAGCTCCACATTTCTTTGAAAACTTTGGTCCTAATACAATAAACTTGCTCTTAGAATGTACAACAGCTGCACGACACTGGTTGATGCTCGAAAATCTACAATTCAACCCCTCAAAGCCGATGGCCTCAACAAACGTCTCCATCGTCTGAAAAACACCCTCGCTGAAGTCATTTGCCTGGCTCCACCTCTTAAGCTCTTAACATCTTTTGAAGGAGCTGCGCTGGTTACCATTGCATGCGAGAGTCCAGCTCAATGTCGCAGTGCTCACTCCTATAGCAAAGACAACTGGTCAACCAATTAATCTGAGCAATGCCATGCGCCCATATCTACCATCACCAAACCTACGCCCGGTTTGCCATTGACCTGCTGTGTGTGAAATCCACTCGGCTTAGGACAGCAGAACGGAGATTTTCATCTGCAGCCCTGGTGGTCTGGAACAGTCTGCCAATTGAAGTCCAGTTAGCCCTGATAACCGGTTCTTTCAAGAGCAGCTGAAACACATTTATTTTAGCTTCTGTTTAGTTTAATTGAGTGCGATCCATGCTTTTGTTCCAGCTTCATGGTCAATGTGACGCGTAAACCATATTGGATTGATTGATGTGACAAAAGATGTTGTACCGAGTCCTTAAGCTGGTTAAGGTAGGAAAGCCATAGCCCAGTAATGCCACTCGAGGGCGCTGTGGCAGTAGGTCAGAATTACATTTTGACATGAACATTTCCACTACCCCCTGATTTTAAATAATGGGATTGAATTTGTGACACGTCTGACTTTTATGGGGGGGGGGTTCTCCAACAGGTGCGTCGGCAGGACGTGGGGGAAAAGCCCCCAGTGGCAAGACAACTTGAGGCCATTGATGACTTTGTACGCAATTTTCTGTTCCGGATGGGCATGAGCCGTACCCTTGACTGCTTTCAGAGCGAATGGTAAAAAAAATTCAAATTTTTATTACATTTTCTTCTTTATTCCAGTGTTTTTGGTACTGTGAACTGTTAACCTTATCGTCAGAAACGTCCTTCCCCCAACTATCGACTCCCTACCCCTGTTTAAGTCCAGGTTCAAAACCTTTCTCTTTGTGCCTGTCTGTCCATCTTTTTCTTTATTAACAAAATATTAATTTATTTTTTATTTTATTTTTTACCTAAGTGACTTTACCGAAAAAAACTAAGAATATGGACCCTTGCAGTTATTAAAACTTCAAGTCAATAATTAAATTATTAACCCTCCTTTCCCCAGGATACCCACATTCTACTGCTCTGTACATAATCTTAAGATGTGGTTGCATATACTTTACATGCTATACAACTCCAAACTGGTGTGCTGTATTGTGCACCTGCAGGAAATGTTTTGAACTGTTATCAATCCTGGAAGCATTTTTATGGTGGCGTCGTATTCGCACAGCGTAATAGGGGTATTATTATTATTCATTTGTTGTTAAATGAACTATCGTGAGGTTGTGACACCAGTGTCTGTTTCCTCGCTGTGGTGTTTAACCCTTGGACAGGTACGAGTTGCAGGAGAAGGAACAGCTTGGCAAGGCCGAGCGAGGAACGGTGTCGGATGTCTACATTCAGAACCAGGAGCTACACGACAAACTCACGTCCTTACACAGAGACCTCGCCAAGTTCCAGGATGCCACCAGGTCCTCCGATTTCTTCAACACCATGAACATTGCTGGCTTTTGAGGGTTTATACTATGCAGTGAAATTCCTCATATCCATTGGCCCTCTGATATGAAGATCGTTGTTATCCACAGGTTCTGTGGGTTCTACAACTTTTACTGTATCTGGAAATCGCGAAGTATTTTACGGCTGACCTAGTTCAGGGGTCAGCAACCTGCAGCTCCGGAGCCGCATGCAACTCCTTTGGCGGCCCCCTTGTGACAGCCATAGTTTTTGTTACTTATATCCTAAACTTAATTTGACGTGAAGCAAATTAAATATGGCAGGGAATGGGTCACTATGATTTGTACAACAGTCAAACTGTATTGATAAAGAATAACTAAGGGGGGAAAACACTAATAGACTCAGTTTATTCCATCACCAATTTCTTTTATTTAATTCAGAATGTGTGTTGTCATCTGCAGTATTGCTGCTGCTATGTTTGTGTACAAGTAGCTCTGTGTGCGATGCAGCTCTTGAGCTATTTTGGTCAAATACAAAAATCTCTTCTTCTTTAAAAGGTTGCTGACCCCTGCCCTAGTGAGTAGCAGCACATTTGTGATTTGTCATGAAGTGCTCTGGGGATGCTGCAGTTCTGCTTGCACATCTGTTAGTTTTGTATGTAAAAATTAAGTTAAACAATTTGATATTGTGAATGAGATGGCTTTTACTGTATTTCATTTTAAAGTACGACTTACAATGTATTAATTTTAACATGGAAAAATAAAATTCTCAAACATACAATGTGGCCTAAAAGTCATGACACATAGGGTGCTGTATTTGTTTTAACACTGGCATTAAACAGTTTTTATTGTTTCTACTTTAAGTTAATATTTTATCTGTTTTCATTATATATATATAAAAAAGGATTTTTCATTTTTAGATACATTTTTTAAATAGAAAGAAAATTGTCTAAAGACGAATGAGTTGCATTTTTACGTATGCTAAAGAAGGCAGCTGTAACCTTTAAAAACAAGTCCTAAATTAATTTCAAAATATAATTCATGTGTGCATTAATGTTAATGGGAGTCAGTTTGAACATTTGTTCAAATAAGCATAACCCTATGACATCCTGACGTTTTTGGGCCACCCTGTTAGTAAATGTAAACACTCGCTCGTCTATGGCGTGGTATGTATGATCTGTGCTTTAACAAATCACTTGGATTGTGCGCGTTGCAGACAAACGCAGGACACGTTGGTGACCCTTCGTAAAGAGAGGGATCACCACCGCATGCACCACCAGAGGGTGCTGCAAGAAAAGAACAGGCTGCTGAACGACCTCAAGAGGTAAACTATACAACAACAAAAACTAGATTTCATTATATTTGTGAAATCAGTGGTTGAATAAAAGTGATGGCACGGCCCACCCACGTTTTACGTTTAGACTCCCTGTGCGCAGTCATGTAGTCCAGTAGCGGAGGAATATCTCGTAGGTACCTTAGCTTTCGGGGTGTGGCATAGGTATGTAATGATTAATCTGCCTGATGTTGAGTTATAGTTAAGAACATACTCTTGTATGATTAGAATCACTATTTTTTCACAAATTTTAGATATTACCTGATTGTAAGAAGGCATTAATATAATTTGCAAAGTATATGCTGACACACTCTTGAGATTAAAAGAACAAACACGATTGGCATTAGAAATTAGACAAGATACATGGTTAAAATGTGATTATACACGGGCCTATGTATAATATTAATAATCCACTGTATAGGTCATGCTCCTAACCATTCCTGCCATTGCTGCATAATTGTTTCAAGGGAATGTCCTATGCAGGAGAATAGCCCCACCATGGAAATGTGGTATTTCCCCATTTGTCTGAGGGTTCCCACTCGAGACAAGCTTTTCCCCCCACACTCACTTGAGCAGGGCACTTGAATTTTGTCTCCTGTTACCAAAATATCTTTGGAAATGGACATTAACTACCCCGTGGGTCATTATGTTGAGCAGGACATGTGGATGAAGATAAAACAATGAGAATAGGTTTTTACCCTTTCTGGCAATAAAATATGACGTGTTAAGATGTTCAAACACCAAATAGATACCTTGTGCAAGGCATCAGGTCTGCATTAACCACAACAGTGGTGGCAAAACATTAACTTGTCGTCAACGTATGTGTGGTTAATGCAGACTTGATGCCATGCAAAACGTATCTATTTGGTGTTTGAACATCTTTACCATAAAGGGTAAAACCTGATATTGTTTCATGTGCATGTTATATTCATATTTCCATTTGTTAATGTGATTATTTTTCTTTGGTCATTCGAGCTGCCGATTCCCATCTCCTTGGTGAAGCCAGACGTGTCACTTTATGATTCTTGCCTGCCTCTACGTGGACGCTGTTTGGCTCTTTGCTTCCCTCTGTGTTTCACTTCTCGCATTCTACCTCTTGTTTGAACGTTTTGACTCTCATCCCTTTTCACCCAGGACTTCTGATGCCTATACATTTTCAAAATAGGTAGCTCTGAATTTACCCAAATATATGAAGATTATGAAAAAAAAATCACTGGGCAAAAAAAATCATGACAACTCATTACTGTGTCAGCAGAATCTTACCTCGCGTCTATAAAAAAAAATTGCAAACTAAACTTTCACCCCCTCTCTGAATATATATATATAACATGTTGAACTGGATAAAATTATTTTTCACTACTCACTTTATTCCTATATATGCTGCCCTGATCGACTGCATGATAGCGAGTTATATTTAATAACACACTCTTTTAATTTATTATAATCACTTAATGTCTTTTGCTAAATTACTCTATTTGAATATACCGTAGATGGCAAACATTGCCACGACTGCAAAAACTTGGCAGGCTTTACTGGGTAAAAAACTATGATAATAATTTTGAATGTCGTTCCCCTAAGTGCCTGTAAAAATAAATTATCAGGACAGTCATAATGCTTATAAGTCATCCATTCCTTCACAAGTTATTTAATAATTTGCTCACTGGTTTTCTTAATTCATAGCAACCTTCTAAACATGTACGTTTCTCAGCTAGTATTATGATACATCATTGATTTTTATGTTTGGGTAATGTAACTATCTGGCACAATTCACGGTGTGAAACCCTCCTTCACCCGACATAGCCAAACACGTAACAAATATAGCCACGTGTACAAGCATTTTAAGGCGCAAACCATCGTTGTTTGAGCTCACCGGTAAACTTAAGAAATGATTCTCACAGCCAAATTTAGCAATCCGTGAACATGCTCGTTGTCTGTTCCCTCAGATTGCAAAAGCATTATGCCTCGTACGAGCCAGCTCTCCGGTCACTGAGAGAGAAGTATGAGGCTGCCCTGAAGGAGAAGATGCTCACCAAGCTAGAGCGGGACCGAGCAGTGGGACAGGTCGGGATCTCATCACGCAAACTGCTGTCATCCTCGCAGCGGCGGCGGCTTTTAGCTAGCCCCATTGGACAAAGAGGGTTACCGCATCGCGCGCTTTCACATGCGTTTCTGCGGCCGTCTGGAACCATCTTCCTTACGATATTAAGGAGTCGCTGGAGCTATGCACTTTTAAATCTAGATTAGAAACTCATTTCTTTTAACTTTAAAACTGATTTTCTTAAAAAAATGCTTCTTGCGTTTAGTTTGTTGTCCTTCCTGGCACCTCTCATTAGCACCGTTGCCTACATACGGTGTTAAAGTTCAACATACATACATTCATACACCGTGTGATAGCACTAATTTATCCTGACCCTGATGCCCGTACGACAACCCTGACACCTGTATATTTGGAGTTTACATGTTCTCCCCGTGGTCGCATGGGTTTTTTTCTCCAGGTCCTCACGTTTTTTCCCTTCACATTTAGAAACATGCGTTTATATTATTTTGCTGCTATACATTTCCGTATGATAAGCCACTTCCACGTAATAAGCCACTTCGAATATGCTGTGGCCAGGTCGCTTATGAAAAATAAGCTAAAAGCTCAGTCGGTTTTATTTGTATGTGTTTTAGCAATTTGCTTACTTTTCCTGTACTTCTGACGCACCCCAACTGGAGATTTGTGAAAAAAAGAGCTTTATAACTCATCGGATTCCTCCTCCAGTCTAAATTAATATTCTGACTTTGATTCTTTACCTCTGGTTCAGTAGAAAAAAACCCTTTAATTTCTGTATGGTCATCAGACAGCCCATTGATCGACTTTCAGTGAATAACTTTTTGTAATTGATGTTAAATGTAGTGTGAGTTGGTTGTGCCTATGTTTTTAATAAGTAACTACTTTTAATCTTGGGTTGTTATTTATTGGGTTTTGTAACAGTTATTCATTATTAACATTTTCGTATTTTGAAGTAGGAATTGGATATTGACATTTACCAAAAATGTAACAACACAGAGTCGACTCATTAAGTGATTCCACAAGCAAACCCTCAAGAGTTGAGACACGCTTTTATACTATGCTACCAGAGATATTACATTACGCTACAGTAGAACCCCTCTTAACGACCATCCCTGTTAACGACTAATCACTTAATGACGGGCCTCCATACAGCCCAATGTGTAGTGTATAGTGTAGAGTAGTGTAGGGTATAGTGGTGGAGTGCCTCCATCGAGCCCAATGTGTTCACTTACCGATCATTCCCCTGTTAACGACGGGAAAATTGTAGGTACAGTAATTAATAATTCATGCATTTATTAACCACGTTTATTTTAATATGAATTTTCTATAATGGTGTTAGTATCTTTATATATTAATATCCATTGTTTAAATCTAATAAGGTACGTTTTTTGGATGAAAAATGGTAACTTTCAATGCTATCGGAAATAATGAAGACTTGAACATGTATTTCCCATACTCGCAAATCACTTAACGACCTGTTTCATGGAACCAATTACCGCCGTTAAGAGGGGTTCTACTGTACATAATAATCGTGGCAGTGCATCAGACACTGCCGCTTCCTCCCCCCAATCGGTGTCCAATGCGTCGTTTAGCTCGCATGATGTGGTAGTTGTTTGTGTGTCAGTATGACAAAGTTTGTTGGCGACTCGCACTTCGGCAAATGTTACATCTTTACGTATGCCAAGTCCTTAATAAAGTAAAACATTAAATAAGTCCCTTTCGCGGTTGACGTCCCTCACACTTGGGACAATATTTTGTCTGCATGACATTTGGAAATTATTCCATCCTAGTCAGTCTTCCATGACCCTTTTCGGTTCTTTACTCAGACAATACAAATGTGTCTTGAGTATAATACTTAGTTTTTCTGGACTAAATTATATTTTAAAAGTTGTTGTATTGAGATAATTTAAAATTATATTTTTTTTGTATATACCCACATCATTGTATTGATCCGTTTGTTTTTGTTCTCAGTGGACACTGATCTGCCTATTCATAAGTGACTGCTGTGAACAATGATCATTGAACTTCTGAATACTACTTTTGTCCAATTTAGATTGCTGGTCTACAAGCCACTCTACACAGTCTAGAGTCTGGGCTTGAGGAGCCAACACCAATAATTGCAGGTGTGTTACTACTTTTTCAATTTTTTTTTACCACCTTTACAATTTTGACAAAGGGTAACTTTTACGCACTTATAAACTACAGATAATAACAACAAAAAACACGAGTGAAGTAGACACATTGTATGTAAATTATAATTTCTGCGAAATGTGGCTCCAGCATCCATCGCCAACTGTATATACCAGCTGGATGAGATAATTGCATGTTGGGTTTTTTTCCGTTTTCATCAAAATAATTTAAAGTCAATTCCCAGTTGGAAGTATATTTTAGTGTAATGTACATGCATTGTACTATTTCCACTTGCTCACCAGATGAGCTGCTTGACTCTGTCCCATCTTTTATCTCAATGCTATTGAAATACTTGCCTATTTTTTCCATGAATTTCAAGCAAATTAACTTATTTTGTGGGCTTAACTGCACTGGCTGCATTTTCTGCTTACAAATGCAAAGCAAAACTGAATGTTGTGCTAGCTCAAAATGCAATCATGAACCACCATAGATGGATATTCATGGTTACTTATTCACCTTGTAAATCCCCTAAATCTCATATTTTTTCAGGTGATTCCTTCTTGCCAGATCCTTTGGTTTTTCCCATACAAAAATACACAATCTGGCAAGACTAAATGCATTGCACACATGTACAGAACACCTCAACTCCACACCCAAATCATGCACATTCTTTCCATATTTTGTATTTGATATCACTGACACCACGTCTCACTGCAGATGGGTATCACATGTGCGACGTCTGCGATTCACCATCCCTACCCTCAAGTTCCCATATTACATGAGTGCATCATTGTTAACACACCCAACAAATAAGAGATTGCATCGCCATCCAGAACTTGTACCCGTGGCTTTAGTGCGGCACAGTACGTAACCGTAGGCTGTCGCGTCCTCGCGCGCTAGGCTTTCACGACGCAACAGAGACTGGTGTGGAAGGCCCGTCTCAGCGCCGTCTCCGAGAAGCCCGGCAGCAGGGCATCGCACCAGCCGACGAGCCGGCGAAGAGCTCTGCAGTGCGGCATGCCAAGGTAAAACTACGCGGTAAAACCGTTGCCACTCATCATCATCGTCATCACGCGCCGTAGGTGTCCACTGCACATTTCGTCATTTGTTTCCACTTTCTTGCGTCTTGTGCCAATATGCTCAAGTCGTGGCCACATATTTCTGGCACCAATCTCTTATGTCGTCATCAAGTCATTCTCTGTCACATTACATGACCTGCCATATTGCTCGATCTATTCACAGTGAGTGATGCAGTCCACTTTTAGTATAATCAAGAGAGGCTGGCCATTTTATGTTTGTTTGTTTTTAATCAGAACACGAAACGTTGGTCTACTATAAGCCATCCATTCCCAGAGTATAGTGACTCTAATGGCAACACAGTCTCTGTAACAAATGTTAAAGAAAGACTATAACTTGTGTTTTTAGAGACGCGATTAATAAGCCTCCTTTTGCGGTGCATATTTCCCACATTGCAGGATTCAGAATTCCCCGTGGATACCCGGGTCAATCCATTCCTGGGCCAGGTGCAAAAGCAGCCGAGTGACGCGATGCGCAGTGGCTCGCTGAGGATTTCCCAGACGCTTAAGGCACACGAGATGCCTGTTAGCAGGTGCTTGGCACTCACGTCAACCGTTGCACATTATACAGCCTTATTACGTATGTCTGTGTGTGTATAAAGTGGGGAATGGTAGTGTAGCGGTCAGCGCGCTGTGCTAAAAAATCGGCGACCCGGGTTCGATTCCCCTTCACGGCTAACACCAGTGACGATTATCTGAAACGGTTATCTGAAGTATGATGTTTCGCTGGTAATTTCATCCAGCGTCATCAGGCGATTTGCCAGAATAGTAATTACCAGCGAAACGTCGTACTCAAATTGTAAATATTGTGGATTTATTTTCCAACACACCGGTGGGCTGAAGTAGTAACTAATTGCCACGTTTTGTTTACGTGACAAACCTTACTGGCTGTGTCGGGTGGTGAAGGGTTTCGACGTATTTTTACTTGTGCGATCTAACCCAAAAACCTTTATTATGAATGATATTGGTCGTGAAAGCCTTTGTGTTAAAACTACATATATTTTTGCAATGCCAGCTGGAAGTGCAAGTAATAAAACTAATCCTTACCCTAACATAACTTTATTGTAATGGTACATACTGCACATGACCTGATAGAGATGCGTGCTTATGCAAACGTTTTCCTTTTACAGTTTAGAATTTATTACAGTTTAGAACCATAATGCCTTTTCTGAATGACGCATTGTAATTGGAGGAATTTAATTACACAGCTTCTTTCACAATAAAATAATTTTATTGTAGTGCACTGTGCAAAAAATTGCAAACGCATGCACTCAGGATTCATGGAACATGTATCAGAATTCTTGTGCATTACAAAAAACTGGAACCTGAGATCTGACTGAAATATTGCAAGTTAAATGCGGAGGCGAGGGGTTTGGAGATGCGATATTGCGACGTCCCTGTTACGAAGTGGCCACATGTCATGAGTCGTAATTGTTAGCTAGACCATATGGTTTCAGAATTATCTGCCCTCAAACAAGAGCTCCACAAAGTTTATTCACTCTGACATGGACATCCCCGTCGTTTAAGTCTCAGGATGGGCTTACAATGGGTCACTTAACCCACGCAATTTAACACAGAAGACTACTTAAGCCACACTTAAGTAACGTCACGGGGATGTAAAGTTAACACATAGCTATATAAGCCGGGTATAACTTTATAGCAAAGAAGTAAACTTTAAGTGCAGTGGCAGCTAATCAAAGTCAAGGTGAAGCAATGGGGGCTGGGCCAACGATTATAAAAAATGTATCGTAGCAATCACGTGACGATCAAGCAATCGTCACACACCACGTGACCCTAGCGAAAAGTAACGTTCAATTGTAAGTGGTGTGAAGACATTGCACGTAGTGTTAGGTTTGTGACGTTCGCTTTTAATAACTTTAAATTCCAGTGTAAAAATCACCCCAGCACATGCCATATCACATTGTTCACACAATTTGAGTTCACATTAAATGTAAGCAGATTTTACTGACATAGCATAAAAATAGATATATTTCATATGAATGGAAACACATTATATGGTAGACAGTTTACTGTGTTTTGCCAAATGATTGCTGGACTCACAATGCCATCTCTTTCTCTCTTCTAGCATGGCGCTACACCCTCGTAAAGAGATTCTCGTCACAGCCAGTGATGATCAACTTTGGAAGATGTGGTCCATTCCTAATGGGGACATCATCATGACTGGCCAGGGCCACACTGATTGGATTGGAGATTGCGATTTCAATCCAACGTACGTAAAACATCCCAGCATTTCGCAACATTGCTGAATCACTTGAGGTTATCCTTCTTCGAAGATACCCGCAGGGCCCGTATGGAGGACAAAAGGAGAAGGAGGAAGAACCATGATCCCTCAGCACCCATCCCAGATGAGACCTATACTTGTAGCTGTTGTGGCAGGACCTGCTTGTCCCGCATAGGCCTCTTCAGCCACCAGCGTGCCTGCAGAAGACGTGGATGTCCTTCCTAGATCTTCGTTCGCGAAGCCAAGCCATGATCCTTGCAACATTTGTTATGAGTAAATGTTTTAGTATCCTTATTTTAAAACTGAAGTGAAAAGTTGATCATCAACTTAAAATGCATTTTAAGATTTAAAATGCCAATCGTCGTTTTATGGATGAACTTTGCACTGTCGCTTGCTTTTCCAAAGGAACTACTTCAGCATTACCAAGATCCTGGGGTCAAATTAGGGCAGCCGCCCTTGGTATTATTCTCAATATAATCTTAAATTTTGACCGGGAAAATTATAGGTGTAATATGTGGGGAAAGGCGGAAAATTAAATACGTAATATTACGGACAGCTAAGCTGAAGGCCACGATGTGTTTGAAATAGGACATGGTACATAGAGGGAGATAATCTTCAATGACTGCACAATAAGACTCGACACATAACATTTTCTTTTTCACCTAATTATGCTCCAAGAAGTAAGACAATATATTAATGTGTGAGACTTAGAAGGCCATATGATGGTGTTTAACCTCGTGTGGATAAAGAGTTCTGTTAACGTGTCCTCTCAAGTAAATATGTCGGTATCATCTCCCAGGAGTTCCCTTCAGACGCAAGGTGATGGACTGCTCACTGTGGAAGTTCTAAGGCAGTTGTAATTATTTACATATATCCCTTTTAAGAAACTTGAAAATGTCCTAATTTGTTTTATTAATACGTGAACAGTTAACGCATACATTGGCAATGAAGCAAATAATTTTTTGTTAATTAATCAAATACTCATTTGTAAGGCAGTCTTTGGGCTGCACTCTGCTCACGTCTCTCGCCTGTAACATCAGACATCCCAGTTGTTTTTTTATTTAATAAGTTGCACCCTACTGATGAGACTCGGGGAGGTTAAAGCGATCCCAAAGGTGCCTTGGTTTAACGAATACTCTGATCTACCGATTGGCAGATGGAATAAATGTGCTTTAACTTCGGATGAAACTAGTTGTCTGTTTATAGTCCTTTTATGAAACATGTGCTTTTATAAGCATTGTAAAAAAAAAAAACGACTTTGTGTAATTTAACGGTTCACGTGCGCACTTGTGCACGCTTCAGTGGAACCAACTTGGCAACAGGTGGCGGTGACTCGACGGTGAAGGTGTGGGACTTCTCGCAAGGCGCGTGCGTACTGACGCTGGAGGGTCACGGTCACGCCGTGTGGGGCTGCTGCTGGCATTCGTGTGGGGACTTCATCGCTTCCAGCTCCATGGACAACTCCAGCAAGGTCTGGGATGTCAACAGGTGAGGTCTTCGCGTGTGGAAATATTCTGATTTGATCACAGCTGGTTATGTTGGTGATGAGCTCAAACATTTATATATATTAGTGTATAGTTAGGTTCATATATGAAGTTGTTTTAATCAGTTATTCGCACAGTCATAGTTTTTGTTAATATTTAGTCGTCTATAGTGGTCAGGAGATAGAGAATAACTAATACAAAGCTGGGAATAAAGTGAAGAGAATATAGTCAAGAGCCTTGGGCTTGTTTTGTTATTAGGCAAACGTGAAAATATGATTGATTTTTGGAGAGAAAACCTTTCAGGAACTCTTAAGATGCTTTGACATTCCAGGTAATTTCAATGGATAACAACATGCACCGACCCAACCCCTGTGCTGAACTACCTAATTGTCCTACCTAGTTCCCCAGAAAGCCCTCTATATGTATATATACACACATTGAGAGAAACACTTCCCGGTGAGGGTCAGGCCTGTCAAGTCCACTGTCTACTGGCGAGCACTTAGAATATTGGCCACTTGTCCCACCAGCAGAGATTGTCCCACCACTTGTGGAATCATAGTGGAGTACGGACATCAAACACTGTGGGCCATACGTTTCAAACGATACACATACAAGTGTAAAACGCACTCGACCTCGGTGCATTATCCAAAGAATACATCAGCAGCTCCAGCTGAAGTGCATTGTGAACCTCTTATGTTAGTTCACCATTAAAATAAGGCAGTAATACAGACAACTGTGGACTGCTTTCGTTTTATATTTGGACTCATCAGAACAGGATAGTCACCAATGCTGCTACCACTGGGGGTTGTTTTAAGGGAGGAATGGAAGCTGCAAGTTATAGTGAAGATGATCGCTCTGTGTGATGCAGTGCAGGGCGAGGGAGGCGCAGAAAGAGGCAGTGGAGATTATTCCTCTAAAGTGGCCATCAAAATAAGTTTGAGCAAAGGTGCATGGAGGCTATGAAGTTGTTTCGTTATTTAGCCGACCTCGTGCGATCCAGCTATCCAAGGTTTGTCTAGCCAGGGTCTGATTTGCCAGGGTTCCACTGTATTTTGGCAAAATTAAGACAGGCAATTGCGCAACGTGGCACTTGTTTTGATTTCACAACAAAGTGCTTCCAATTTTTTTCAGTTAAAAAGATAACACAATTATGAATAAAATAGAAATTTTGATTTTGAAAGTTTAGATATGTATATCTTACATGTAAATGTCAATTCAGTATTTTTATTATAACAATGTTGAAATTAAATTTGGAAAAAAAATCAAGTGCTTCGCATATTTGCATGAGATTAAATATATAAGATAATTTAAAATAATTGTAAATTTGGGTTTTGATGGGCAAACACAACAGTAGTTGTCCTTTGGAGAGAGGTTCCCCTGCCATAGGAATGTGGAATATCCATCAATGACTCAGGGCTGTCAACTGGAGATGAGAATCAATGCTTCGATGCTCATTTGAGCAGAAAATCACTTTGACTCGTTGGCAAAGGACACATTTTATAACATGACTAACATATACAAAGACAAATAATATATATTATAGTCGGATAAATTTGCTGAAGGATTTGGGAAATATTCCACAGCCCCGATTGTCGGTCTAGACTTATGGTAATATTTAAGGTAGTATTCATGGCCTGCACATGACACAACTGTAGTAATGCTGATATAAATAGATAAAATTGAGCCCTCTTTCAGTGTCTTATTACTTGGGAAGTACAATGTTTTGATGGCGACACTGGCTTCTTCAGCTGTTCTTGTGTAGTTATTTGTTAACCAACTGTATCACCTCTTTAGACATTACAGCGATACACATGCGATCCCTGGGTTTTTATCTTTCACGAAGCTCATGGTCCACCCTGAACTGCATCCTCACAAAACATGGCAGATACAGATAACTGATGCACAAATGGAAAACTAAACTCTCCAGTGTGCGACTGTGGTCATCCAGAACAGACCATACAACATCTCACGATGCAATGCCCGATCTACAAATACGAAGGAGACATCACAGCGATACACTCCACTGCTCCTTACACGGTTATCTGGCTTGACAACCTGAATGTAAAATTGTAGTTGTTACTCTGCATCTACATCAGCCAATGCGAAAGAAGAACGCCTCTTTTATGTACTAGTTGTCCACTCTTGTATTTGTAATAAAGGTCGTTGAGGCGACTTCTGGAATCCAGTCTTTATTCGCTTTTCATTACAGCACTTCCTTCACGCTGCTGACAGGCAGCGTGAGAGGGATAGAGAGAGAGAGAGACGCGCGCAGCCACGTGGCAACTTGGACCCCCACTCTCGAGTGGCCTCCTCCTCCGTTCGTTCCAGTTCTGACCACGTGTTGTTCGTCTCCACCCCTATTTAATACCCAGGTCATGTGGTACGTTTCCACCAATCCTGGTTAGCCTCTATGGAATCTTCCAGACTCCACCGTAGGCTCCCGGGACCACGCCCCTGACTCGTCTCCCCATTGGCTGTGGCTAAAGCCAGCAGAACCAATCCTCTACTTGCAGCTATCACCTTTCCATTACGTCAGGGCCACGCCCCTAGGCTTCCCCCCATTGGCTATGGACCAGGACCGGCAGAGCCAATCATCGTGACGAGTTATAATCCGTCAACGACCCGAATATAACCTCACATTACATATGAATTGGATGTTTACCGTTCCGATCATGTAAACCCTGTACAATTAGTGGAGCATAATAGGCGAATTCTTCTTCTGCAATTGCTGCGTGTTCCTCACGATATTGAAGTCTGCCGTCTGTGTTGTGGCAGCGAGCGATGTCGCCAGACACTCCGAGGCCACACCGACTCTGTCAACAGCGTGGAGTTCCTCCCTTACTCCAACACGCTGCTCACCAGCTCAGCTGACAAAACCCTGTCTTTGTGGGATGCTCGAACGGTAAAGTTACATGTAATGCATTCACGTTCAGCATTTTACTTTATTTTTAAAGACTTTATTGTTCTCGTATTGTTCTAAAGATGTGGCAATGTAATCAATGTACTTTGTGTTTCTGGATTAACTTTTTACTGAGAAGCACGTTGCACGTAAATATTAACGATGATGGAGAGGGCATTGCATTTGTTATAATCACAAACCATTTACATAGCATACAGTAATGCGTGATAATGTGCAACTTTTCTTCCAGGGAAGATGCGCACAGATATTTTATGGACATTTGCACTCCTGCAACCATGGCACTTTCAACCTTAAGGTAATATTCATGGCCTGCACATGGCATGACAATATCAGTGCTGCTAGTTGGGTCCATGTGAGAGCCTTCTTTCAGTATCTTTTTATAATGTGAAGTACATTGTTTTGTAGGGCGACACCGTAGCATCCTGCGATTCATACGGAGTGATCAAAGTATGGGATGTCCGTAAAGGTACTGCGACAATGACACTGAACCTGGGACCACATCCAGCCAACCGTCTTTCCTTCCACCCGTCTGGTAAGATGCATTTTTCATACTGGACATAGCAGTTCGCATTTCATCTCCATCCATTTGTTTGTGTAAAAAGATCAGGCCATCATATCCAACACTATGTATATATCCATAATAGAGGTTTTTGGGTTAGATCGCGTAAATATATAAATGTGTCGTTAAAACCTGCCACCACCCGACAGCCAACTAGTAAGGGTTGTCACGTAAACAGAACGTGGCCAATTCGTCACTAGTACAGCACACCGGTGTGTTGGAGAGCCAAGCCACAACATTTACAAACTGAGCACGACGTTTCGCCAGTAATTACAACTAGCTTCATCAGGCGACAGCCAGATTTGTGCAGAAGTCTTACTGTTCCGTTCCTTATATAGAGTGTGTTGACCACCCTTCTGCGCTCTTGCACAATGATGGAGGGGGGGGGATTGCTGAGGCAACGTACATTATGCATGTGCATTATGGGAGCGCTTTAAACTTGTCCTTCCTGTCTATTGTGTTTATTAAAATAGCCCTACCAACGGTAATCCCTATTGAAGTACGCTGCCGTTCGTAAGCATGCATTTAAATAATGTATTATTTGATTATTCACTTCCACGCAGCACTAAGACGGTAGCTATCCGAACAGTAAAGTTATTTTTATTTCTCTCAATTCGATAGATTCTCTAATTAGTCTTGGCCAGTAGTAGCTAGTTTTGCACAATACTTCAACATCAAAATCAATTGCGTGTCCTTGTTGGCACACGTGTTCTGCTACTGCTGACAGTTGCATTTGGGAGAATTTAATATTTATCTGATGTTCTTTTAGTCTCGTGCTGATCATTGGTCCTGTTTGCCCAACATAACATTTACCACACGTGCAGTTAATCCTGTAGCTTCGGTAATACATCTTTTGTACCAGATACAGTATTACATTTGGAATTTTATGTACCGTGCCAAATCTGACTCGGATGTTTTGTTTTTCAAAACATCTGGCTAGTTTATCAGATACTCTCGCAATGTACGGTATTTTGATCGTTTTAATTACTTGGGCAGTTTCAATGCTCTTGTTATTTGATTTGATTTTGGTATTCAATGCCCTGTGGATTTGTGCATCATTTTAACAGTTCATTTACAGCGCTTCTTTAACATATTGAATTCCACTTCTCAGACTGTCACCATCTGACACTTTCTTAGCTCGATGAATGAGCGTCTTGATAAGTGCAGATTTCTGTGCTGGGTGATGGTGTGACTCTGCATTCAGATAGGCGTCAGTATGCGTTTTATTTTGGTAAACACTGCGTGTTATTTTACCATTTCTAGACCGTCTGAGCAGAATATCCAGAAATGGTAGAGTTCTGTCAGCTTCCACTTTCATGGTGAACTGGATGGATGGGTTTTGCGAGTAGAGATGATTTAGAAATACGTTCAGTGTATCTTTGCTGTGTGACCAGACCACCATTGTGGCATCCACATCTAAACCAAGCAGATGGTTTAAGTGTGCTTGAAGCTATTTATTTTGTTTCAAAATCTTCCATGTACAAATTCGCTATCACAGGCGACAAAGGAGAGCCGATTGCTGCTCCTTCCTTTTGTTTATAGAAATCACCTTGCCACAAGGAGGAGGTGTTCTTTAGATAGTGTTCAGCTAGTCTTGGGATATCTTTGGCTAAACCGTTGTTCGTTGCCAGTGTCGACTAATTTTATTGAACCCTTGTGAACAGAGAGGTCACATCAAAACTTACGAGAATATCATTAGGATTAAGATTAATATCTTTAATTATAATTACGAGATGTTCAGAGTTTTTGATGAAAGAAGAGGTCCTACCGATGTAGGGCTGTATTTGTTTCGTTACGTATTGTGCTAATGTGTACATGGCAGAGCCTATTGTACTATGGGTCTTAATGGGACATCAGGTTTGTGAATTTTTGGTAGCCCATAAAGTCTTGGTGGTTTTGATGGCCTTGGTTTGATCAGGTATTGGCAATTGATGACTTGGCAATGATTGCCGTTGTTTTACGTTCCAATGTGCTGGTTGGGTCTCGTTTAATTTAAAGGTACCTTCATCGAGTAAATCTTAGATTTTATTATCATAGTCCTCACGGGGCATCACAACAGTCGATAGGCCCTTATCAGCAGCAAGAATGTGGATATCTTTATTTGCTCTCAATTCTCTGAAGGCTTTTGCTTCACTGAAGTTAATATTTGTTTTTGCCACTTTGCTGTTCTCAATAATTTTGGCAACCTCGTGCCTAGTCATCTCAGCTTGATTATGAGGGAGATGTCTAACTGCTGATTCCACTTCAGCAATGATCTCATTGACAGAGATTGTACATGGGGCAACAGCAAATTTAAGACCTTTAGACAGGACTGAAACCATATCGCTGGATAATTCAACGTTCGTCGTGTATGCCACCCAGTCAGCTACTCTGCTGTTTACAATAACGGTGCCATTGTGAATATTTATAATGGAAAATATTAACATTTAGCAACCGACAACATTTTTACGGTTGTTCATGGTGTATATGTGAAGGTGTAGTTCTAAACCACACATTGAAGGCAAATACACTCGGGGTGCATGGCTCGGGTCTGATGGGACCCGGTCACATTGGGACTGATCAGATCCGAGTCCATTTTAGAGCCGACTATATATTATTGTTTGCTGCTCAGATTCAAACGCAGGATCTCAGTGGTACCAACTCAGTGCTCTGACCCCTGAGCATCCTAACCACCTACTTCCCCTGCTTGCATTGGCAGTGTGTTCCTTGCTTACGTTGTGCGCTTTGTCCCCGCTTTACACAGGATACGTAATGGCAGTGGCCAGCGATGATGGCTGTGTACGGATAGTGGATCTGTTAACAGGACACGTGGAAACACTCAGTGGCCATGAAGACGCTGTCCAGACCGTCGTCTTCTCACCAGACGGGGACACACTCTTCTCAGGAGGTTCAGATGGTACCATACGAATGTGGGAGTAGCCTGACATAATCCATGGTGATGCATCGAGGGTAAGAAGGTTCATTTCAAGACCACGATTATTCGATTTTTGTTTTATAAATACGTGTGCTTAGTGTCCATTTACAACTTTAACCACTTTATATCATTTGTGTTAAACACTTAACAGGGAGGAGATGCACCAATACAAATTGGACACGACTTGGTTTAATTCATACAAGTCCTCTTACTGAACCAAACATGCTGGTGTCATCATCACTGAATTTGTTGTTTTTTGTGTTTTATTCATGGCATCTCTTGACAATCCAACTATATTTGAAGGAAGCCTCAAGCGACTACATTGCAGTTAAATATTCCCTGATTATATCACAGTTATGATTTTATTGACTACTTAAATTGAAACGTATAACATTTGTCTTTTGTGGAAATTGTCATTCTTATTGCAATGTAATAAAAGTTTTAAGGGTAAAACGGTCTCTGGAAGTTTCTACATAAGTTAAATTAAACATTGGCTTTGTATTTTAAGCAAACTTTTTATTATCATAAAAAAAATAACTTTGAACATTACTCTAAAAAGACACAGTCCCAAAATAACGGGTGCTATTTTATGTCATTTCCTGGACAACATTGAACCACGATGATGCAGCACTACCATCACAGATCCACATCTTCCTGGTACAGGAGGTCCTCCGTTGGCTTAACATGGGCGGTTCCCAGCATGCACAAGTAATGATGTAGTGTAAGGTACAGGGGTCATAATTCACTGATGTTGCATAAGAAAACTACCGTGGCATTCCTGACAATTATGTGATTGTTGCTTTTAATTATTTGTACTCACGTATGTAGGTTCTAACTCGTCCTGAACACGTATCATAGTATAAGGTGTCTTCAAGAAAAGAGCTTTTTATTTCATTGTTACACAGCGACCTGTGCGATCTACCTCACAGTGTGGAGGTGCAGCAGTCTACAATAAATAACAATTTATTGTTACACACGCATATTTCACATTTTGGAAGCATCATTCGATCGAGATTTCAGAGGCATGGCGAAAGAGCTCAAAGTCCCTCCATAAGCGTGCCTGAACAGGTGAGAGCCTGCATGGGTGAGAGTCTGAACAGGTGAGAGCCTGCATGGGTGAGAGTCTGAACGGGTGAGAGCCTGCATGGGTGAGAGTCTGAACAGGTGAGAGCCTGCATGGGTGAGAGTCTGAACGGGTGAGAGCCTGAACGGGTGAGAGTCTCAACTGGCGAGAGCCTTGACAGGTGAGAAACTGGACAGGCGACGGCCTGAACAGGTGAAAGCAGAGCCTGAACAGATAAGTCTTGAAAAACCAACAAGATCATCACGAGTTCGACTTCCCTAATCGAACCAACCAAACGTCCCTCTCTAAAACCCTCGGCGGCTAGATCTCCCAGACTCTATGGTCTTCCCAAGATCCATAAAGAAGGCACCCCGCTACGACCCATCGTGTCAACAATCAACTCCCCTACCTATAAACTAGCCCGTTTTCTATCAGATACTCTGCTCCCTTCACAGGCAAGACCTCTTCGGCAGTACTCAACTCAACCCAATTAGTCTCTATGGTCAAGGACATGGTACTATCTCCTGATGACATCCTCGTCAGTTTTGATGTAGTATCTCTGTTTACCAAAGTCCCAGTGCCTGACACCCGAACAATAATTGAGGACTTGGTCCAACATGGATTGAATTCGGATGTACCTACGCTGGTTAGGCATTGCCTCACCAACACTTATTTTACCTGGAATGGCACCTTCTACAAACAGAATGAGGGTACCCCTATGGGCTCCCCCTTGTCACCAGTGATAGCCAACATGTTCATGGAAAAGTTTGAATCAGACGCCATCCAGACGTCCACCCTGCGTCCTTCCCTGTGGAAGAGGTATGTGGATGACACTTTCGTCATTTGGCCACATGGCCTCCCAGCATTGAACCACTTCTTGGACCACAAATTCCAGACACCCATCAGATTCACCACGGAAGTAGAGAAAGATGGCAAACTACCATTCTTGGATATTCTGTTTGAGAGGAGACCTGACGGATCCTTGGGACATTCTGTCTACAGGAAAGCCACCCACACAGATTCCTACTTGAAACCGGATTCTCACCACCACCCATCTCAAAAGAATTCTCTCATCAAAACGCTATACGACAGAGCTCATGGCATTTCTGACCAACACCACCTGGCCAGTAAATTAAGACATGTACATCGGGCCCTCAGGATGAACGGATACTCTGAACGCACCATCCGCCAAGCTGTTTCTCCCACCATACAGAAACAGCCACTTGAAACTCCAATAAAAACTATCACGTTGCCATACATAGCAGGCGTGACCAAAAAGATCTCCAAAATTCTGAACAAAAATAAGATCCAAGTCCGATTCAGTACAGTACATAAAATCCGTGATCTAATTCCATCTACTAATAGGGTTTTTCCCCTTTTTCTGGCAACAAAATTGACACCTTTTGCAAGGAATCATGCTTACATTAACCACAATACTTGCAGTCAAATGCAAACAAAAAACAATACTCTGATAATTTATGCATTGTCTTTGAAACTGATTGGTCCACACCAGAGACAGCTTACTTTAGAGCCTAGTCTCATATGGTGTTCGACCAGATAACGCCAAAAGGCGCACAGTTCAAAGACAACGCACCAATTCCATCTGTGAAGGATGTCATCCCTGACTTGCAATACCCTGGAGTCTATAAACTGAGTTGCAGCTGTATTGACTGTTACATTGGGGAAACGAAACGTCATGTCTCTGATCGTGTCCGTGAGCACAAGTCAGATTTGAAACACGGCAAAATTGAGTCTTCCGCCGTTGCCGATCATTGCTACAACGCGGTGGGCTCTCATGATATTGTTTTTTTCCGAGACTAAGGTGCTCTGCAAACCCTCTGGCTACCATCAAAGGTTTGTACACGAAGCCATTCAGATATACAAACACAGACATAATTTCAACCGTGATGATGGGTACAAACTTAGTAATCATTGGAAAGATGTTATTAACCATGCAAAAAAGATTTACATTTTTGGACCATCTTTTCTGACAGGCACTATTTTACTTTACCGAGTGTTAACATCCCCAGCGTTTAACAGTACTCTCTTTATTGTCAGCCAACACTGGTATAAACATGGGCATTTTCGTTCTTTTCTAACATGTGCATCAACAGGTGCTTGTGCACAGGCATGTCCATGTACACATGCATCCCGTGCTCTCTTTTAGCCCCGCCCCCACCCTTCCAATACGTTATGAGCAACAACAGTGACTTGCGCACAAACACGTCCACGCCCACGAGCACCTCGTGCCCTCTTTTAGCCCCCCCCCCCCCCCTCCCGATACGTTCCATTCATTGGCTACCACATTCTGATAAGCTCCCCCCCCCTCTCCTCCCCCTTAACTTGTATTTAAGAGCTTGCATCTTGAATCCCTGCCTCACTTGATGCAGCATATCTGGCTGTGACGGTCCCACCTGATGACGGAGACTTGTGTTGCCTCCGAAACGTCGTGATTTTTTAATTTTATTTATTTTAATTTCATGTTTTACCTACGTGCCTTTACCGAAAAAACTAAGAGTATGAATCCTTGCAGTCACGAAAGCTTCAAATCTAGAATCTTGAGAAGATGCTTGAAGTTAGATGATGCTCGTATTTAGCCAATGTGCAGTGGTGCAGCTATGGAGAAACGCCGCTCGGCCAAGACCATCTAGGCTCTGGGTACCATTCGTTTGTAGTGAATAACTCAGAGACGATAAGAGTTGGAGGCACTTCTTTATTAACAAGCACCGTCGGGGTTAACACTCTTAATGATTCGTCCATCTATTGTTGGCGACGTTACTCAGGACAGTTGGTAGGCTGCCTGACTGGTGACGCCCCGAGATGGTGAAGACGGAGACGATGACAAGAAGGAGGGTGAAAACGACGGGAAGAATAGTGACCAAGACTTCAGCAGCATGGCGGGGTTCCCACTCCACACGACAGCCCTGAGGTCCCCGACAAGGGCCGCTTTTATACTCTCAGCCTGGCCTCGCTCCGCCCCCGGCCACGCCCCCTTTCCAGAACCTGCCAGCGGGTTCTTGGTGTGCCCCTTCTGTGACCCTTCCCCTAGATCCCCCTCTGGTGTGTCACGTGGCCTGCTCACGTCAGGGCTGCCGTAAGCCGCAGACCCCTTTCCCTGCCAGCAGCCAGCGCTATGCTGCTACATTACTATTGTATGCCACTACACAGTCATTCATCGCGCACCGTCGACGAAGGAGCGTTGCACCAAACGTGCGACTTCTTGATTCCGTGAAAAGGCGTCTCGGGCGATTTGTTTGATCCATGGATCACGAGGGGGGGCGGCCACGGTGTGGGGGTGGTACGGGCGTAGGGAGGGGGGGCAACCACGGGGGATGGAGGGGGCTGGTGAGCACAAGGGGGGAGCACGGGGGGCGATCATGAGGGGGGGCGACCATGGGGAGAGGGGCGACCACGTGGGCCAACCACGGGGGGTGGAAAGGAGCGACTTGAGTGGGGGGGAAGGGGGGGGCGACCATGAGAGGAGCAACCACAGGTGGTGGAGAGGGGCAACCACAGGGGGGGGGGCAACCACAGGGGGGGGCAATCATAGGGGTGGATGGGGGCGACCACGGAGGGGCGCCACCACGGGGGGTGGTGCCTGCAAGCGGGCACCTACCGTGATGGATTGCTTGCTGAGTGTTTCAGGGCATGACGATCCTCGACTGTGGCACACCACATGAAATTGGCAGTCTAAACAATGTAAGCAAAAATAATGCCACAAATTGTAGAAGGGAAATGCGAACAATGAAAATCGTGTTTAACATGTCGTGGGCTTTCGCGACCAATACCCATAACAGGTTTTTTTCTGTTAGATCGCGTGAATATAAATGTGTCGTTAGACCCGCCACCACCCGAACCAGTAACTAATTGGCACGTTTTGTTTACGTGACAAACGCCACTCATTAGCTGTGTCGGGTGGTGGCGGGTTTCACAACATATTTACGCGATCTCACGCAACAACAACAAAAACCTCTTGCTGATGAAAAGTGTGCGTTGAAACAAAGGACACGTGGTGTAATTATGTGGGTGCCTGTGGTCACTGGGGCTCGGGTCACTGGGGCTCGCTCACTCGATGTCTCCCCACGCACCTGCGAGGGCGACTGTGCGAGTGCTACCTCGTGTGCGAGGCGGTGGCCCGCAAGTTGGGTGCCACTCGTGAGGTTCTGCAACTGCTGTAACAATACTTGCGTTATCTCATGGGCGACAAAGTGGAGAGATGATATGACTAGAGCCCCTGCACCTTACCCATGCTTCGTGTTTATTATTTGTAACAAACAAAAACCCCAGTACTGCGATGCCCTACAGTATCCTGTTGATGCAATAAAGGTGGCTATGACCTCCAGCTAATATTCGACATATAACTGTTCTTATGCCAAAATGATCATGCCTGTGATCACTGCGGCTACTATGACGACTGATG